AAACGATCAATTCAATTAAAGTTGTCATGTCGGATAAGAAACTTATATTTCCAATTCAGAAAGGCATTAAAATGAATTGATGATAAGAAATGAATATACAACAATATGCAAATATCATCAATCATATTGAATACAGTATACAAAATATTAAGTAACAATTAATGTGTGCAGCTAATCAACTTAAAGGTGCAATCACTCATTCACCACAAAGCTTGTTCCTCTCAGTGCAAGGCAGCATGGATATTACATTTTCCGAGGTTCTGGGAGATGGATAAACTCAGGATACATATTGATTTATTTAAGAAAAACTCAAATCTTACTAATAATCACAGTGGTAACTAGTGTCTGTCTCAACCTCTCTTCTATGTTAATACAGCCTGGCCTTTCTTGGTAGTCTTTTTTTATGGCCAGGCTGTGTCCACTTACTCTTCACCTTGTAAACTGTTTTCAATCATTCACCTAGTTTTCTATCTATGACTCTCTCTCAGTAACTGCACCCAGGCAATCACAGTCTCATGTATTCATGTCATATTGTGGTTTGACACTACCTTAAGCAGCCACTGTGTGTTGTTCTCCATGATGTTCTCCAGTTGTTCCAGCCTCTGAGCTGAGTCCTCGTCGTCCACAGGTCCATCCTTCTGATCTGGATAGAAGTAGCTGCTGCTCTGAGTCTGGCAGTTCTCCTGCTCTGGCAGCAGAAAGGTGTAGCTGCACGGCCCGTTTTGAATCTGATATTCTCTTTTAACCGCAGCACTGTATCCTGTCCCCAGACCAAGGCAGAAACTTAAAACTAGTAAGTCCACATTCAGCATCTTCATAATAGAGTTGGGTGCTAAGTCTGGTCTTTAGCTTGTTCTTAATCCTCTCTCAATGACTGGATGTCTTTCTCCAGCGGCATCCAAGGGTAAACAATCCTCCGAGGGTCTGCAGATTCCTTTTATTACCTCTCAGTGGGAGGAGGATCAAAAAGCCATCAAGAATGAGATGTAGCGTGTCATTCCCTTTAGGTTACTGGTGGCAGACTGCATGTGCTCGCTTTGCATCAGCCCCCAGCCACTTGTTTGAGCTACTACTGGCCCCTCTGATTAGCTGAGAGTCCAAAACCACTCCCCCCCCGCTCTCCCGTCCAGTCACTGAGGAGCAGTGAAGTGGGGATTCCTTTCAGTACGGACTCACTTCACATCACAGAGGAGCAGATGCACAAAACTACACACCTTCCACTATATCCTCTACAACACACATGTTTTTGTCTGCTTCAGCTGAACAGCTACTCAGGATGCAGCTGTGCACCTTCAGCACGCTCTGTGATAGTAACAGAGTTCATCCCATTCATTCAGAAATGTTTCCCGGGGACAAACACACTTGCAAATGTGAATGGAGGATCCAAAGGAAGAAATCACTCGTTCCACGGATTCTTAACTTGTCCGTATGCTTTATCAATGTTTTAAGCTAAATCTACTTATTTTTCCTTTTTCTGGAAGAAGGTTTTTCATTTTGAAATGTTATTGACAACTCTTTTATGTATTTTATTTGAGTTCAAAATGTTATAACACAGATATTCCTTCAGGTTCTATAAAGTCTCATATCAGTACAAACTACAGATGCAACTTGTTGACCGCTGACCACAAAATAGTTGCTGTTGTTTTTTCATCCGCTTTAGGGTGGATTCCGATGATCTCGTCTGAGTCACAAGTATAATGAGGCATTATCTGCTTGTGACCCTTCAGAACAGCAAATCTATGGGAAAGTTATTTTTTCTCTAACAAGAAAATGCATTTGTTTAAAGTGTGTTTGACTTAGTCAAATTGGAACTCTCAGCTTTTCATATGTGGGCATGTCGTGGGTGTTTTCTGTATCCGGTCCCAAACATTCATGTCTACACCAGCTTAAAAATAGCACAACAAAAAGGGACTTCACACAGGGAAAGTATTTCACTGTATATTGTAGGTGTGTGTGACTGTTAATACTGTAATTCATCTGACTTATAACTAGAGATTCCTAGAAAAGATTGGAGGTTTTCCAGACTTATTGAAGGCAGTGTTTTTTGGCAAGCTCTGATGTTGATAACCAGAGTATTTTTCAGTCATTCTTTGGGAAAAACATGCCTGAAATCCTTGTTTTACCAAGTTGTTATTCAGTGGCTTGAACAAAAAACTGTTCGAGACGCCCCTCGGTTATGTTTTAGAAAACTAGATTTTTATGAACAGATATTGATACAGCTATATCAAAATGTTTATTATGATTACTTTTTTTGAGGCACAAATGTAACGTTTGGTGTCTTTTCCTCTAATTGGAATATTTAACTCTGTGAGTGCCCTCATGCCTCAGTGGGGAACAGAGTGCAGGTGTGTGGAGCAGGAAAGACATTGCCATAGGAGGATGTTGTGTCCTCTACTGCAGGAATGTGTCTCCATCCAAGACCATCTCCTACTGATTCAGGGGTTTCACTCTTTGCTATTGTCTAGTGAATAATCATTTACCTTGGCATTACAGCATTTCATTCTCAAATGCCCCATTTGTCATTTTGTGTCAGGAAAGCCTTTGATCTGCAGTCGGATAGAAACGCAGAAACAGAATTGTAGGAAGTAGGCTGATATAATAGCTACTGTGTAAGGGAAATGTGACATATTTAAGGCATATTAGCAAAGAGGAAGAACTTGTCGTCATTCCAAAAACATTGACATTTTCAGGTGTTCAGGCGGAATCACTCAAACTTCAGTGGCAACGGTGATAAACAGGACACTAAACATGCTGTCGTACTACGAGCAGACAATGGGCGCACACTTTGTATTTTTTTATGATGAGAGAAATTCTTGCCTTGCTTTATTTGTTACAAATATGTACAAGCCCTCTGCCTTTCTTGCACAACAAAGAGAAATGTAAGCCTTTAGCGGCTGCAAATATATCGATTGAATTGTCAGGAGGTGGTGGAATTTCCCATCTGAAAAACCAATTATTCTTTAGCTGGCACTTTACAAAGCAATTTTACAGTGTTTACCAGAGAAAGCTTGCTACAACTGGCATCTCTATGACCCGTCCTCTAGAGATTTGAAAAATCCAGCGCTGTGGTACTGAGAGATGCAACAACAGGCTTCAGCAAGTTCACAGACTAATACTTAATACAGATGTGAGTCATGAATAATGTATCTTTAAGCAGTATTATACTAGATATGAAATTTAGGAAAATCCAGACTGATGTTAAAAGTTAGTAGGCATGACAATTTGTTTGACCCTGAATAAGAGACCCGTGTCCATGTCTGCGTGGATACAGTATATGCACTTCAGTAAAGGCTTGACAATATTTTCTGTACATAGAAATATATCCTCGTATTGATTTTTAGAGGCTTAGTTTTGTGTTTATTCATTTACTGTATATGTACTTTCTGATTAGCTCTTGTAACATGTTTGTGTTGGACTGTTTCTCCTCATTCTTAAAGCCTCTTTCTTACGTAATAAACCTTACATATACTTTTCAATCATTATCTTAAAAGCACACTATGTGGGTTAATCTTAACTTGACCCCGTCTCTGAACTTTTGACCAATCCCTGATTACTTAACGTAAAGTGAAACTTGTGTGAACATTGACAAAAGACTAAAAGCCTTAAAGCTGGTTTCCTGGCATTCAGCTTCAGAATAGAGCAGATTGTTCCCTTCAGTTTAGCAGCTGACCCTTGCTGGATAGAGAGCGGGCTGCAGTGAGAGCTCAGAGCATCACTCAGCAAACCCAAAAAGAAACACAACCTCAAAGAGATTCACATGCCCTCATTTAGTCAGACAGAGTTCGTAATGCTACATGAAGAATGTGAGCAAAGGAAATGAAATCGAGCACATGAGTTGTCATGGTAGATCACAATAATGCCACTCAGAGTTGAACAGTTAGCAATGAGTTGTCTTCGTCACTGGGATTCTTAAATTATTTAAATAAAAAATCTGAGGCTACATTGAAAGTTAAGTGCAACTATAATACTGCTGAATAGTTGGTTTGAAGTTATTTAATGTTATTGTACTCTAACAAACTGTTGTAAGTCCAGCAATAACACATACCAACAAAAGATGCTATTTGAATTGGATGTAATGATACATTAAGCCTTTCAGTTGTGCTTGTTTTTTATGTGCCTCAAAGCCAAATTCTTACATCCTCTGCTGTATCTCTAGCAGCCACCTTCAGGCCACTCTCAGTATTGAATCCTATGATCGAATCACAATTTCAAACTTGTGGCTGTAGTGACTTTTAAATTATTTTTTTCTGGCTTCAGTCGATATTTAATTTATTTTTTCATCAAGGACAGCATGCAGGTAGATGTCATGGTTAGCTTTATTTGAATGTTTATTGGAGAAAACATTGATCCATTCAAACGATAAGAGAGGAACGTTTCTTGAACTCAATTAATCAATGTTTCAGAACAATCTTGTTTAGAAGAGTTTGGAGGAAAATTAGCCGGATGTTGATCTAACTCTTAATGCTCTCTAACGCTGTGTTCCAGTCAAAGTTGAAGGTCAACCTTTCTCAGTTTAAGTTTCCAATCCCCAGGATTTTCAGGTGCATGACACAGTTGACTGATAAAGTGATATTCTTTTGGAGAGTGTACTCCCAATAGAACTCCAGCAGTGCAGCCTTCTTGCATAAATAAACAGAACCGTTTTCCCAAATAACTTCGTAACATTGGTGAACTATTTTGACATAACTTGTATTTACATACAGAACAAGTATTACTATATGATGTTTATTTCTTAAATTGAAAGCAGCACCTTACATTGCATTTTAGTTGATGGTTTACAATTTACAATGTGTGCTTCCATTGTTGTGTGCCATCACACAACTGCTACTTTATAAAGTCGGGGTAGATGAATTTGTCCTAAGTAAGAATTCTTACTTTCACTGAAGACATGTGGACATGTCACAGCAGGAAACACACAGGTGTAAATACCCAGCTCCCCCTGACAGGTGGTTTAATCTAAACATGAACAAATGGGTAAATGTATACGTTTCTTTTCCCAGATCTGTCGTCTCCAGAGGCACCTGTCGGCCGGGGAGCACCAGCAGGATCTGTTCCAGGACCAGCCCGCCATGTTTGTGTCCCAGCACTCGGAGCCACCCACCCAGAGTCTGGAGGAGCTGATCGAGCTCTGTGGAGGGACGGTGTGCAAAACTGTGCGGCAGGCCGGCATCTGCATCGGGAAGTACAGCGGCAGGAAACCAGAGGGAAGCAGGGTCCTGTCAGAGCAGTGGGTGCTGGGTAAGATCATTTCTGTGTAACATGCTAAATGACTATATTCTGCTGCTATTAATTGTTCCTCTCATTTGTTTGTGATTTTATTTCAGATAGTATCATGCATTTGAAGCGGCTGTCATACGATAACTACGACTTGGAGTGAAAGCTGTGAAGTTTATTTTTAGTGCTTTTAATGTTAGACAGTGCCTGGTCAAATGCCCACAGTTTCTACCTTACAGTGCACTTGCCTGCTTGTGTTCAAGGGCCAGGTCCTCTCAATATTCAGCTTGTATACCATTTTATTCTCTGGTTAGGTTACCATGGAGACCTGTTACCTCTGAGGAATATCAACCCTTCAAGATACTGTGAAGCATCGAAAACTGGACCGACATCAATCCTTCATTATTTTCCTTTTTTCATAAAGTAGTAACCACTATTGAGATTTTTTTTCATTCTTAACAATGTGATTCTAAAATGCTTGCTGACCCAGTTTAACAGTCTTATGGAATAACATACTGTAACATCATAAAAATGTTTGTGTCTTAATAAATAACTTTATCAAAATGTGGATTATCATGATTAGTTTTTAGGTTCAAATCTGAAATGTAACAAGATAAATGTAACTGTGTCTGGTGACGGGCAACACATGAACAAGCTGCTGTCTCACTGTGTAGACTCACACTTGTCAGTCATGTGGAAGCAGCAGATGGAAAGTAAAAAACGTGCTCAATACTTTAAAGTTACCAGACTCTTGCCTGAGAATATCTAGTTACGTCTTATACACTGCTTTCACTTTTTCAGTGATTCACAATTATCATATACATGCATGTGTATGTTAAGGTCATAAAGAATAAGGTGAAGCAAGTTTGTTATGGTTGTTTAGACTGCACCATTCAGACCAGAGGCACATTGAAGTGCTTTAGGGGATTTAGAAATACTTACATATATTAAATAAACAGTTTCAGATTGACAGAAGTTATGAATCTAATTTAAGCAGAAATATTTCCAATCGGCTTATAGTTTAGGCAAACTCCAGGACATACAGAGTGGTTTGAATAGTTAATAATGAATACATGTTTTATCTAAATCCATAACTTACCCCTTTGTCTTTGCATTACATTTTTGGAGATACTTTATCTGGGCAATTCCAGTAATTATCGCAGGTCAGCACAATATGACTGATTTATACTGAGCAACACCCTCTGCTATCTACCCGCCTTCTGCAATCATTACTAAGTGATATGTGTCAGATTGAATACTTTTTCAAAGTTTAGAATAAAACATTTAAATGTTGACGTTCGAGTTCTATTCTTTTTCACATGTTCAACAATTACATAGGATTCCTTCGCAATGGAAATCTTAAATCTAGGGCTCAATTCTACAAGGCTGATTGAATATGCATAAAAAACTATGAAGAAAAATATCGCACAAGTAAAACGAGAGTATGAACATAAAATAAAAATATATCGATATATAACATAACATGAATGTATGCATAAATGTGTATAATGACTCCTACATTTCACTCCGGGTACTAATGTGGGTTTATCTTATCTTGTGTTATTAATTTATGTAATCATATAACAGTCTTATAAATACATTGTAGACAAACAAGAAAAGTTGCTATAGCCATTAACTATATTATAGCATCAGACTGTATGGTTATGGGTTATAGCCATAGACTGTATTATAGCATAATTAGACTGTATGATATAGCCATTGACTGTATTATTGCATCAGACTGTTAGTATGGTTATAGCCCTTTAACAATAATACCCATCTCGTGCCCCCGCCCATTGGCTGGCTTCCACTACGTAGCTTGACCAATCAGCTTCGTCGATGTTAGGGGGTGGCATTACGTAGGGAGGCGTGTGTGACATTTGCTGCATGATGCTAGTTTATGAACAGCTAGCTGGATAAAGATGAAGACCTGGGCAAGGAAATAGAACAAATTATTTTTTTAACAACTAAGCTTACTTTTGGGTTACACTTTGTTATCGTACCCATATTAGAGGAGCGAGTTTATTCAAATGTAGCGTTTGATAAAACTTCCTGTCAGGCTTCAGACGTTAATTAACAGTTAGTAATCTAACACTTTTAACTTATACTGTACATATTCGGTTTAGGTACTGTTTGTGTTTTGTGCTAAAATGTTAAAATGTATCAGTTAACTTCGTTTTTTTTGTATTGCAGTATGGGTGGACGTTAGCGCTTAAGCCGACTTGGCCCTTTTGCACACAAGGTTAACATTAGCTTTAGCCAGCTAGCTCCTCTTGCTGCAGCTTTATTACTTTCTTCTATTACTTGTCAGGGCAGGTATGCTTTGGGGTTGATCGGGTCTGCATCTTAAACACAGAGTGAGTCCTACAGCCTACTTCAGGGATCATTTCAGTTACTTTAGTGGAGCCAGAGGTGGGACCATGCTGCTCTCCTTGGTGGTGCACACATACTCGCTGCGGTACTGGTTTCCAGCCACGGTCATGCTGGGGACAGCTCCAGCTTACATCCTGTCATGGGGAGCATGGCGATTACTTTCCACTGTCTTACCAGCAAGGGTATATCACAGGTTGGATGACCAGTTGTACTGCATGTACCAGAGCATGGTCCTCTTCTTCTTTGAAAACTACACAGGGGTGGAGGTGAGTGATCCTTAATTGACTGTCTTTACTTCTGTGGTCACCCTGTGTGGACTGTGTTTATTAAGGATGGGGAATTTAAACCACTAGTATCTAATAATAATAATAATTTCAATTTTGATAGCGCCTTTCAAGAGACCCAAGGACGCTTTACAATGGGAAACAAGTGTAGTGATAGTAGAAAACCAGGACCTTGGCATAAGTGACAGCTGCCTCTGAAATGCTGAGCTTGCAGTCTGATCTGGCCATTTTCCTGTTTATTGGCTACTTTTGTTGATTACAGGACCTATAAATAGCTTATAATGCTTATTAAGGTCAGCCTAGTTCTATAAGTCGTTTTTTTTTTATATCACCTACCTAACTGCACAGCACACCGCATGCAGATCAGTGCATTTTTGCAGTAACTCTTAACACAGTCAGATGGGGACTGCCTGCTGAGACTGTAAAACTAAATCTTGATGGACCAGGTGCCTGCAGCACTGCAATCATCTCTGCATTCTTTGCCCTTGTGCTGCCACTCCTTTTACAGTGGGTTCAAGTTTGCAAAACAAAACCAGCATTGACTTTGTTTCGTGTAATAAAACTGCCCCTCCCGATTGCTGAATGGAAGCCACATAGTCGATTGTAGGGCAGTCCCCTCTTAATCTTCCTAATGATCAAAAAAGGAAGTCGACTAAGAATTTCTTTAGTCAGGACAGCACTAGTAGATTGGAAGAGAAGTTTCAATGAGTCTTTAGGGTTAATTGGAAAGCTGAGGTCTATGAGGGTTTAGTTTCTTAGAAAAGTCTGAAGTGGAAACAAATCCCTGAAAGAAATCTTAATGTTAATGTAGAAGCATTTTTCAAACTGATGCCAGTCCACCATTTTGCTGTGATTTGTAATATCTTTAACGTGCCTTTTCTGTAGGTTATTATATACGGAGATATACCAAAGAACAAAGAGAACGTGATCTACCTGTCCAATCACCAATGTACAGGTAATACATTTACATCTTATAGAATCTCAGTCTAGTGTGAAGCACATATTGGAGTAAATGTAACAATGTCTTTTCTTGCAGCTGACTGGATCATTGCGGACATGCTTGCCATCAGGCAGAGCGCCCTTGGCCACGTCAGATACGTCCTTAAAGACGGCCTCAAGTGGCTCCCGCTGTACGGATGGTATTTCTCTCAGGTAATACAACTGTGTGAGTATTTGAATGTCATTTGTCATTGTGAATTACGGATGTAGAGAGTGTACACTTATGTTGAATCACATTCCCAAGTGCTGCTCTCATCAAATTATCTTTTTGTTTCAGCATGGAGGAGCCTACGTGAAGCGAAGTGCAAAGTTCAATGAAATAACGATGAAGAAGAAGCTCCAAACCCAGACTAAATGTGGAGCGCCAGTAAGTAAATTAGCCTCTGGACTACATGCTTATTGACATAACAATGTCTGCCATGTCTTCCCCTAAATGATGAATAGCTTTACATTTTTCTGATCATCACAATCCTTTTTGTTAAAACGTCTCCACTTGAATTCACTGCAGAGCTTTCTGCAATAATCAAACCCAATTCTTTCCTCCAAAGATTCCCTCTTACCCTACTTGCATTCGGGATGTTGACCTTAATAGTGCTCAGAGTTTGTATGAACAGAACATCTGAAGACGAGAGCAGTACTGAAGTGTGTGTTATTGTGTTGAGAGCTTGTTTTTAATCACTTTTTGGGGATTAAACTGTTGGGGATTAGTGTGTGTTTGTGTGTAGGGGTGTGTACTGACAGAAGAGTTCCTTGTGACCTAAAGGTACACTATAAATGAAAACATAAGGATTATTCTATAAAGGAATTACTGCTCAGTACAGTGCTGAAGTTTTTGTTTACATTGTTCACATCTGACATCAAAGAAATGAGTGGGAAAATAAGGATACAGCACAACAAACTCAGATCTTATCAAGCACACCATTTTATTTTTCACATGTAATCATAGAGGGTCCACATCCAGTCAAATGTAATCCCACTTCTTCAACTTGTGGATTTAAGTAATTACATTTGTGTGTGTGATTTGAAAAGAGCCAGGGATGAAAATGGTGTTGAAAGTTTTCTTCTAAACATCATAAGTTCAGCACAGTGTTTGACGTTTAACGAATCCTGTCAAAGTTAGAAAATCCATTTGGGCCAGTGTAATAAGAATCTGAGCGGGCTTTGATTTCCTGTGTTTTCTCCCTGCAGATGTACCTCGTCATCTTCCCTGAAGGAACCCGGTATAATCCGGAGCTCAAGAGTGTTATCGCTGACAGTCAGGCTTTTGCCACCAAAGAAGGTACCGGCATGACAGCAGCCATTAACTGCCGCTTACTAATTCAGCATATCCCACTCAGCCTGTAACTTGTTAGCCTTCGACCAATGAGCGTCAGATAGATACAAAAGGTTTTTAGGAAAGGTCTTAATTTCATGGTGAGGGCTTCTGTTTATATCCTTTGTTACAACAATTAGAATCATGACAGAGCAGGGCTGCTATCCACAATTGTTTTACTTGAATTCTAGAGTGAAATCTGTTTGGTCCAAGGTGATGTCTTCAGGGGTTTTGGTTTGTCAGTCTAAAACTTAATTTAATACAAAATAAAACCAGGATGTTCTGTTGATCAACCAATCGATTAGTCGGCAGCCCCATAACAAATTAAAGAATGGTATAGAAAATGGAAAGCTGTAGAGAATTTGTTATCATAAAAGTATTTTGTGCGAACATTTTTGTACTCTTATTTAAGATTGATTTAGTCAAGCTTTATAAACTTTAAAACTACCAAATGCTTTTGTGTTGTCGTAGGATTATGAGTGTAATGCCAGGAATTTGTTCACTAAAACTGCTTATAGACGAGTCAGCTGGTGCAGCTCAAAGTTTGAAATCAACTTGCTGCTGGTCGATA